AGCCGTCAATGGGGAGGCACACTGGGCTCTTTGACAGAACTGCTCCAGCTTTGCAGGCTGGATTAAAGCACATAGTGCCCAGAAAAGCTGTTATCTTAAACCTGCGGTATGCTCTTAAACACCCCCCTCACCCGCTGCTGGAGGGAACGCTGCAGGGTGAGGTGCGCAGCAATTCAAGCGCAATGTTTTCTTACAGCGTTTAACAGAGAAGGGAGAGCGTGAGTTAACCATGATGATCCACATACTCCCTACAGAGGTCTAAAACGTACTGTATGGTCTCTCCAGTGAGGGGGTCCTAGGACTGAGATAGCAGGAGCTGCGAGTAGTATAATCTCGATGCGGTTTCATGGCAAGATGCATAAAGACGTTTGAAGCTGAAGCTCATTTTTTATGTGGAATCCATACCGACGACTAACAATAAGTAACCAAAGATTTCTACAGCACGTTCTCTATGCCGCCAGTTTCCGTCGTTCTCGTCGCCTGGAAAGGGCACAGAAAAGGGAATGCAGGATATCAGCAGGGACCTTTCAAAGCCGTTTCACCCGTTGCAAGTCAAGAATCTGACCCATTTTTCACACTCCCCATTAAAACTCCCCGGCGGTTTTTGGAAACTATTTCCAGGAACTGAAGAGCCCCGCTATGCCGGCTCGTTAGATTTGCACCTTGAAACTCCAGATATATGGGGAACAAATTCCGCTTCAGACCAACGAGCTCCGTAAATCACCCTGTCAGTATCGCTTTAATGCCAACAGCTATATCGTGGTGTTATATCCTGCAGCTGCTCCCGAGCTTTTGTCATGAACAACAGGTTGCCCAACAGGAGCCGCGGGTCTCTCAGCGACATCAGACAGCATGTGCTCTGGCGCGGATCTCCGAGCTCGTGGGCCAGAGCCTTTGTTGTGAAAGAAGATGCATCTTTTCCTGTGATCGGACCATAAAGCAATAATTTAGTAACCCGACAAGGCAGATTATAACCCACGACAGAACAACAACAACAAAAAAAAACTCAGCTGAGACACCTCATCAATACTGTGGCAAGATAACAAGAGCCAGTGTCATGCACGCTACGTCAGTGTCAGCAGATTCTGCCGTTTGCGCTGTGATCATGTTCCTTGAGCACACTCTGACTTTAAACTGTACTTTGATCATCTTGAAATTCTTCACATGCATGAGATATTATTAGAAAGGCTTTGAACTGCTCCTTAGAGCTATCGTAATTCCTGGTCAAAGCTAGAAAAATTCAAGTTCTATTTTGACGCTTCCTCTGGATTTTTTATATGGACAATCCATCATACAATTATAAACTTCATTTTTTTTCTGGTCATCTGTATTTTCATTTAATGCTCATTGAAATGTGTTCTATATATATTTTTTTATCTATCTTAGTGGGTAAGTAGTCTTACTAAGTCAATTACAAAATTCGTAAAATCAACACTGATGCAGAACTAGAAATCAGGGGAAACTGACAGCATATAATCACTCCCTGTCTGCACTGAGTAGCAGATGGCAGTCTTTACTTATAGATTGATATTCAAAAGCAACATAACTATTTACGCATGTTTTCAGAGAACTAAAGCATACTAATTTAGTGTACTGAGCACATGGTTCCAGCCTCATTTTGATCAATTGATTATTGGACAGCAAAGTTGAACTTCCACTGAAAACCAATAAATAAGTAAACGAAATAAACCCATGTGCCTAGTGATCCTAGAGAACAAGGCCCTTGTGCCAGCGGTATGTTGGAGGCTGGAATAAGACACCCCCTGTGGACTGACCAGCTCTCTTCAGCAGTCAGTCAAAGTGTTGTGTAGACCATGCTACTGGGTGACACCGAGTCACACAGTTGTACAGAACATGGTGATTGTGTATGACAGGCCAATCAAGGTAGAGGTAAGAGACGGTCTGTGCAGGAGAGTGTAATCACCACAGAACATCAGAACAGACTGATGGCATCCTGAATGCATGAATCTAGAACGACAAAATCCAGGGAATTCCCTTACAGCTCTCGATGGGACATTCCAGAAGGACAACACCATGCATCTCTCGTGGGAGAAGAGACTGACCGTTACATCGCACATACTGAACGCTAGCCCCCTTGAACACCTGTGGGATGATCCGAAGGCACGTGCTCGTCAAGGCTCCCACAGGTGGGCTGATGGAAAGACCCCACAGGGCAGCACGAGCAGCCGTGAAGCTGTACAGCACTAGAGCAGCGCAGGTAAGGCTTCCAACAGTGGCTGCTAACATGTGACATGCAGAGTGAATTCCCTGTTCAGCCACGTTGATGACACTCTTCACCCAGGCTAATGAACTTACCTAGGCCAACTCCGACGCAGAGCTGCCTCTTCACAGGGCTCGAATCGGACATTCGAGACAACTGTGGGGAGTTGGCATGCTCTGCACGCGGCAGCGAGGGCTTTTTCCTCGTTTGCTCCTGCAGTCCGAACAATTCCTAAGATTATTTGCCTTGTGTAAGATGCCCCCTGGATGTGTGAAGAGAGGTCTCTGCCCTACGCTGGACTGGTGCCCTCTCCAAGGGGTCCCTTCACTTGCTCCAGCTCTCACCTCTGCTCTGAACTAAGCAGTTAAGTAGATGGTTTATTCAATAAAATGTTGTGGCACCTCCTATAAAAAAAATCAATTTTTCATTTATTTGTTGCAACAGACTCATTATAAGTGATAGGTTTATTAGGCCACTCAGTATATAAAAGCTAAGCTTGCCCAGCACACAATATTCCAAATGAACATTTCATGCTGAGCTATCAGAACCTTTATGCTTTATCTCATGGGTAAGGCTAAAGTGCTTTTGGCATCTCGGATCATAAACACTACTTTATACTTTTCTGCTGTCACTGTATTCATGAGGAGTTTTGTGTATCGCACGAGTTCAGGACCAAGGAGCAGAAAAGCTGTTAATTTTCAGATTTCAACAAAAAAGCTAAAAACATCGGCCCTTAGTGGCAATTCAGCAGGGTCTTAACCTGCAACATTTTCCACCCATCAGCGCGATAACTTCACAGCACAGGGTTCAATCCCAGGATGCGTTAAGTGTCAAGTCAGCAGTCGTGAGCGAACAGTTCTCCGGAGAGTAGCCTGAGGACAAGGGAGCAAAAAGGAGAAGCCAGTCCTGCTTCAGCATTCATTTCCCATTGCCAATCAGAACAGCTGGAACCGGTGCAGTGTGCAGGGCAGGCCATACCTATCGAGAGCTGGAGTGTCATCGATGCAACAAGGCAGCAACGGCGACAGAGCCACGCTCCTCAACAGCCACGAGTGCATGCACACCAGAAATCTGCACCAACGGTCAACAACAATAACGGGTCTCATCTCGACAGATCTCAAGGCAGCCACCCCCACCGCCACCATCTGTAAATCACTCACCTCAGCAGGGCCAGTCGGGACAGTTGCTTAGTGTTTGTCTGCACCAGTTCCGAGTTCAGAAGAAATACTTACACCCTGCGGCACGACCACGCAACTCAAGGGGGTGGGGGGGGGGTGGCGGCTTGTGTCTGCACGAACCTCTCGACAAACTGGGCAGAGAGCACAAGCGCACACAGGAGGACAAAGTGCACAGGTGGGGGCGGTCAGGGTTCCAGGCTCATCGCTGGAAAGCTGTGGGTCCGAAGCCCAGGAGAGTTGATGCCGTTGTACCCTTCTGCATGGTACTTCACCTGAATCGCACCAGTAAAATACACAGCTGTATCAATGGGATGCAATCGGAAGCCGCTCTGGATAAGTTAGTAATCAGGAATAACTCCCTCTGGATGCTATGGAAAAAGCGGAGGGGCAGGGGCAAAACGGCCTCGGATGTTTTTGGAAATGCCCCCCGTTGGGGTAAGATATCCCTCTCTGCCGCTCCACCAAAACGCACGCTGAAGAAAACGGGAAGAAACACGAACGTGCCAAAAAGAGGAGGAATTTCTTTGACGTGTTGAAAGTCTGTGGGCTGCAGTGTGCATTTCTATTTTAAGAAACGATAACCTGATGAGATGGGGCTTTTTTTTTTTTGCATCTTGGACCACCTGTCAAATCCTCTGCCTTCTGTCGGGCCCAGCTCTTTCATGAATTTACAGCTTCAAATTGCAAGAAATTGTTCCTCACCCTGGGCTCCAGAGCCGCAGAATACAGATGAATGAGCCTAAAAAAAACTTGCTTCCTTCAAAGGCTATTCTTTATAAGAACTGTGTAATGTGCACGTGTATTTTTAAATTGGGAACAAAAAAATCCCAGACACAATGCTTGTGAATCTTCTCAAACATTTTAATTGTAAATAAACAAAAATAGGTACCACACTTGGCATACAAAATGACTGCTCGTTGCGTGTGCAATTAAAACAGCTTAGTACCCCCATCAAGACAAAAAGGGTAAGAAAATCTTTAAACAAATACTT